TATAAAACCTTTATGGGAGTTAAATCAGAGCAGCAGATACAGTATTACAGTCAACACTCTAGTGTCATGGTTACAAAGCTCAAAGAAAGCCGTGTGTGTATTTGTTCAAGCCATTCTCCTTATAAGAAAATGATGTCTCATCCCTAGAAACAGATAGACTCTTACAACAACACAGTGGAAACAGTACAGCTGCAAGCATCATCAATCTACTTGAATCCCAAATGGGACTTTTAATGATTAAAGGATGTGAAAGGCCAGAATCTGTTATGCTAACTCTAAAGCACAACCTCCATAGCAATGAAGACCTCTACTCAAAGAGGCTTTCCTCAGTTTGTACACAAATGCATGAAACTCCCCCGTGATCCGCCTGTAACGCGTCTAGAGCAAGCACTTATCAAAAGTTCTTATGTAAAATCTTGCATGCATGCTTCCAACACTGCTCCCGACAAACATGTCACGTTTCACAGTGCATCCAGCTCTGTGTAAAGAAAACTGTAATAGCCAACCCCCACATGCTGCAAATCTTGACCAATTCTCCAACAGCAAATACTGACTAATGTCCAGGCCTTCAGCACAAGCACAATTCATGGCACCTTTTTTCTGCTGCCATGTTTATCTTCAGCAATTGCTAGTTCTTTTCTATTATGAAGAGATTGCCTTAAAGTGTGCAGTGTGTGTGTAAGCTCTACTTTTGAAATAAAAGCGACGAGGACCTTCACTATTTGTGATGCTGTTGTGACTAATTTAGTTGAGCTATATTCTTTTCTGATTTCTTGACATCTGAGTCTCTTGAAATCTTTATTCTTACTAGAATGATTCCACTATGAAACACGTTCAAACATTTAGATTTACAGCAGCTTCACACTAACCAACTGAGAAAAGCGTTCGTGTCATCAAAAGCAACAGAGGGCTACATATAGCACCGCCAAGTTGTTGTACTGCAGAGATGCATGTAAATTATGGTGAACAGAAGTGAACACACCCCAGCTATGAGTTGTGAGCAGACCATTAGCGGAGTGCCGGCTTTAAGTTAAGAATTTATGGCATGTCATATAACGTTGCTGTCTGCAATTTTGAAGCTGGCCATACCTTTTATTAATGCTCTTCTCCTCCTTTTGGTACGGCTTGACAAACCACTTTCCAATGCGAACAAAGCCACGGTTCATGAGGCAGCGCTCCAACAGGTTGTGAATGGCTTTGAACAGGAGCGTTCGACACTCATAGGACAGGCCACTCTCCCACTCACCATCCTCCTCACCTGAAACAAAACAGATGCATTAAACCACATTGTTCTGACAAGCAAACCTTTCTTCTTCCTGATAAAGCTAACTGCCCCGTGTTAAATGTAAACTGCGGTGTGCTAGATTTGTTTGACATACATGCAAAGACTTAGTTTGGTTTGCAAACATCACACCACAGTAATACCTCAAGTGGCCCATTTGAACATAAGAAAAACATCTGATCTCTACATTCTTCCTATTAGTTATTTCTGAAACCAAATGATCCAACCCTGTTGCTGATGTATCTGACAGAAAGTTAGTCTTTTTATATATATACACACACACACACACACACATACATAGATGATATTGTGAAAAGTTCTACATTTACTCTGAATCTTCACTCATTACATGCTGCTCTGGTCATGGATATGTTTTTTCCAAGAGCCATACTTGCATCCAATTGCAAATTAAACCATTCAGCTCTTTTTGCAGCTTAGCTGAGATTTATAGAAATGTTACCAACTCTTTCTCTGAAATGACAAATATATGTTGCCTGAAAGTAACACTTGACCTTCACTGAGACAGGAGACAGAATACCTGGTCACTGTGTCAGCCCCTAAGGGGAATTCTTTTCACAGAGATGCATATCAACAAAGGAAGAGTGAACTTTCATCCAAAAATTGAGACTATGTCAGGTGACTGATGGAAAAGAACTTGCTCTAATGCTACCATACAAGTCTGTGCCTCTGTGGCTATGAGCCAATGGATTCCACAAGGCTTTAAATACTTTAAAAGACCTGTTAGCCACAAATCAGTTAGGCTTTCCTAACTTATTATCATCAGACTTTGTATCATTAAAAATGCATTATAACTCTTTGCCACAGTTCAGAATGATTGGCCTCATTGTTTAACACGAAACATGTTTAAACAGGATCCCAATTTCTGCAAATGGAACTATTTTACCGGCATTTTTCTGTTAGCACAGCTGCTCGAGAAAGTATCTGGTATTAACATCAAGAATTACACTCTTGAATTTATTTTGTTCCACTGCCACAGAACTGAACTAATTGCTAGGCTTGCAAAAGAATACACATGTGATCTAAGGTAGATGTACCAGTATTGCTGCTACTTACATCTGTGAATGAAATATACATTTTGGTGTAATAAATTTGGATATGCTGAGAATTACAAGTCTTGCAGAACTCATGGAGATGTGGGATCCACTTACTTGAGAGCTCATTGTGAATAAGCTCTGCAAAACTGGGGTCATCCCCCCACCAGAAAAGCCAGAGCTCTCTGCGACCAGGGGTGTGGTGCCGTCTCCACACACTCAGCACATCTGCCGCCAGGCATCGGCTGAAACTACACAAGATAGGGTCCTCCTCAGTCACAGGAAAAAGGATTGGCGAAGAGGTGGGTCCTTGCCACACAAAACGCCGCCATTTTATTCCAGTCAAATCAGCCTAAAAGAGAAGAAAAACAATGTGAGAATGAGCACACAGCATAGCTGCACAGCATCTGACCAATTGTCAGTTGTTGACTGCATAACTGTGCATGTGTGTGTTTATTCCCCTACACACACACACATGCACACACACAGCAATGGGAAGCTTAACATTGTTTTTCTGGTCATACAGAAAACCTTTTTTAAATGAAAAAAGCAGAGAATTGAGGCTTGTTGACATCATTGAAAGTTGTGCAATACTTTGTAAATGTGCTGCCCCAATCATACGTAAATACATGATATAATCAAGAGTTAACAACACAAACTGCAAGTCAATCTAACATCAGGTTAGTTGGTCAAATTTATTGTAGTAACTGTCTGACTTCATATCTAATTAGTATTTCATTTAATACTGCAGTGCTCCTTATAATAAGTAAAAAAAAATAAGGTGTGTTGAACAGGTTTTAAATAATTAGCCTGTTGACCTGACCTGTTACCACTATGTAACTAACGCTAACGCTAGTTGAATATTTGTGTAACCACTGCAGTGTAAACACACGATCATGCTATATTCACTAGCAAACCTTTAATATTGTTGCCTTGCAGTATGTGCCGTCTCTGTTATGAAAGTTAGCTAGATCACGATTTGCAAGTTGCAGGCCCGATGCCTTCACGCCAGTCTGCAACTGACGTTACAAAGCTTGTTGCCTTATTAGCCAAAATGGCTTTCTGGCCTCTCAGTATCACAGCTAACGCTAGCTAGCGCACAGAGCAGAGTCTTACCAGGCAGAAGAGGTTGGAGTGGCAATCCTCCAAACTGGCCCCGTTTGGTACAAAGCACGAACTCATCCTTTCACTGCGTGGTTGTATCGTTGAAGTCCATTGTCTCAATCACCTTCGGGGCAATAGCTGATCTCGGTGACTCGCTAGCGAAGCGATGTTCAGTTGTAATTATCCCGTTAAAGCGCTGACCAACTTGCTAGCTACAGCTAGCTACCGCTAGTCAAACAGACAACTTCTAACCGGCGCTAGCCACCACTAGCCTGGTAGCTAGGCTAACGTTAGACGGGCAGCCAGATAGCGTCAACTGTAAGCTTCTAGCTATTCGATTCATCAATCCTATTTGAAATGTATTGTCTGATCTCGTTAGCCGCAAGCTTGCTGCTACATTACCTTAACATCAAATAGTCAACGTTAGCACAACCTGGGCAGACTAACGCTAAATCCAACACCAGAAAAGTTATATGCGCAATAAAAATACAAGCTGGAAAACTAAAAAAAACTTCATCCCGAAAGCTTAGTCCCTGGTGTGCTAATGCTAAAGCCAGCTAGCTGATCTGAAACAATTTCAAAGCAGAGGAACTCTCCCCTCCCCCTGATCTCTGCTAGCCTGCTAGCACGCAAGCTAACATACCAGAGCTCCAGCGCTAGCTTGCTAGCTAAATAAAACAATTAGCTACACCGCCCTCCCTTTTCGCTAAAACCACCACGGCGCTCCGTCATAGTAAAACTACTCTTAAAACGGACGAAATGCCAAACTGGCGAGACTACTCATCGGCTACTCCTCTCTGACTGATCCATGGGTCCTGCAGATTTCCATTATTTCAGTTCATGGATTGAATTCTTTAATGGCGGCCAGGAGGACAACTCTGCCTCTCAGCTCCTATTGGCCAATTTGTGGTAATGGGGGCGTCATCCGGCTTCAAGTAGCTCCATGACTTCACAGTTTACAAGATGAAAGCTCCAGTGCATCTGTCATACAGTGGTCACTCCTCAGTGATGTATGTTACCAAACATGTTTCACTGTACAACATCTGCTGCGTGGGTCAGACCAGAGAATTATTTAGGAATTTGTCGGAGGGGAAATGGGCCTTTTTTTTGTTGTTGCAGAGACTATACCTTTTTATGAATGTTAGTATTTTTTTTTTTTAAAAAGGGGGGGTTATTTTATTGTGTGATCGAGCCGTTTGCTTTGTGCATTGCATTGTGCTGCAGATATGAAGTAGTAATCTAGGTCAAATTGTGCAGACAAAGATGAGTACGTCACTGATCCCAGCGGAATTTATTAGGTTAATAATATGATTTTGATCTGCAGCGGTGCAACTTTTGTGCTCTGCTAGGTAACTGTGCAAAAAAAGGGGATTTAGGTGTAGCTTTAACATTCACAGCGCAAAAATAAAATATAAAATAAAAATAAAAAACTACATTCCACTAATTTTGGGGGTCCTGCTTTTGTAACATATCAACTTGATGCAGTCGCTCCATCCTGTCGTATCCGAGGCAGGCCACAGGGCGGAGACTGTGCGCAGGCCTCGCTGCTCCCGGAGCGTCCCTCCCAAAGAGGCGGGGCTTCGGATGCATCGAGAAAATGTCAACAACATGCCGGAGACTTCCACGGAAACAGAAACTGAGGAGGGGACGAAGGACAGACAACAAAGAGATGAAGCCGCCCGCTCGTCTCGCAACGTCGTGTCCTTAGTATCTCAGTTCGCAGATGATAATTTAACCCTTGTGCGGGTAGGAGTCTCCTTTGTTTGAAAGCAGCGATGCATGGGCTCGAATGTACAATATGATCAACCCACTGGCATACTGTACGTGCACACCCTGCATCTACCTGGGATCTTGCACTTGGTGGTGGATTTTTTGTGGGTAAAAATGAGAGCGATGGGGACGTACAAGAAAGAAATATGAGTGTTAGTGAAAGCATTCATGGCCAACTCCCTCCAAGCTACACCTCAGTCATTCCACTCAGCAGATATCCTGGTTTTGGCAGCTTTTAGTGCTTCCTGTGTCACTACCACTGTCTTTTTCATTGTCAGTCTCCAGAACAGCTGGGTTGATGGTATCCACATATACGCCGATCAGCCACAGCATTAAAATCACTGACGGTGTGAGTGCGTAACACTGATCAGCTGGTTGCACAGTAATGTCCTGCTGGAAACCCTGTGTCCTGGTATTTGTAATATGATGCAGACCAAACCACAGCTCCCCTATGAGGGTACTTCAAAAAGTTCTCGGCCTCACCACGAAACAAGCTCTCATTTCAGAGCATAACCGTATCCTACAAAGCCTTATATCACTGTCCGCTAGAACTCAAATGTTTAAAGCAATCAAAGAAAAAAGGAGAGGAACGCTTTGAGCTGGCTGCTGTTGCTCTACAACAATGCATCCATCCACATGGCACAGGTGGAAGAAGCAGCCAAATGTGGCTTTGAAGTGTTGCCTCATGCACCTTGTTCACCCATCTGACTTCTATCTGCTTCCTAAACAGAAATTGACATTTTAAGCGTTGGTAAAGTCGTGTATGGTGTTGAGGAGTATCTGGAGGCTTAAGATGAAATTTCTTCCGCAAAGAGATAGCAAAGCTTAAACATCAGTGGACCAAGTGCATTGAAATTACAGGAGACTATGTATAAATATCGTGCAAGGACAATCCTCTCTTGAGATGCTTTTCTGGTGACGGCAAAAACTTTTTAAAGCACCCTTGTATATGGCAGCGGCCTCTCCCAGCAATGAGCTCCTTCACACCACAAAAACTGCCTAGAACCTGCTTGAGGAATACAACAAAGAGCTTCCAGACTCCAGGGGATGATCTACAGAGGCCTCACCCCAGTGGCCTGTGGTTCAGGTGGTAGAACGGGTTGTCTACTAATGACAAGGTCCACCACCGTCCACTGCGCCTTCATATGTCAAAGTGTCCTTGGGCGAAACACTGAACCCCCCAAAAATGTTGCTTCGCTCTGTCGCCATTGAGAGTATGTGTGAATGAAAAGCACAATGTAAAGCGCTTTGAGTACCACTAAGGTAGAAAAGCACCATACACGTGCAGACAATTTATTCTGCAACCCCTGTTTATGTCTTGGTGCAAAAAAACCTGAGGACACCACCTCATAGGTCCCATGTCCTGACAGGTTGGAGCTGTTTTTGGCAGCACAAGGGTAAACTATTTAATATTAGTCAGGTGGTTTTAATGTTGAGGCAGTTTGTGCATACAGCCTGACGGTATCATTGTCATTCTGTCAACTGTATTCTATTAACTGCTGTCTCTTGTTTCACACAGAACATTAGCACTGGACTGGCCATCGCTGGCGTGATTGTAATAGCAAGGAGTATCAAACTGGTAAGAGAGAAAACACATGCTGGGGGGAAAAAATGGACCTTTACATGCTGATTAGATTGCAGATTCAGCTAACTACTGCCTGTTCAAAAACATTAAATCATAATTCTCTTTGGTTCAAGTGTGGAAATGTACAGAGAATTCTTATTGCATAGTCTGAGACACGTAGGATGTTAATGAATTCCATTTTCACATATTTTACCCAAATACACCATTAAATGTCCCATTCTCACTCAACCTCTCCAGATGACCAAATTTACAGCTGCATGCGAGATCCCCGCCCGTTTTATTGAGAGGAACGTGAGCCTTCGTGGGAAAGTTCATTCCATCACAGAGAGAGGACTCGAAGTGGAGCATGTCCCAATTTATCTGCCAGTTCTCTCTCCATTACTTTCAAAGCACAAGGGTAATACCGGGGATGGGGGGGGGGAGGTATCCTTTGAGGAAAATCATGAGAGCGTGTGCACTATAACGCAAGAAATACACACAATTTAGAGCCAGTGATTTATGACCAGCTTGTATGCCAGCGCTGACAGTTTCTGAGTGGAGTGTGTCCTTTGCAATAACAGCTAATGAGGCATTCGAAAGCATCAAACTCGCTTCTGGAGTGTAATAATTTGCAGCAGGCGCACCTTTGTATCTTGTTACGCCGAAGATGCTACCGTGACATTTTTTTGCTTTGTAAAGTCGGAGTCAGATAAATTTTTATCATCTTGTCGTGACTGAGAGCGAGAGGTAATCCTGTTAGCTGTTATATCAAATCACGGTTCTCGCTGAGTAATAAAATCAAGAGGCCCATGCTTTATGCAGAGTGCAACATCAGCTACTTCAGTGTGAAGGACTCGTATGAAGAGACCACTGTGGGTTTCGGTTGTAACCTTTGTTCCTTGTGACCCCCACGCTTCAAAGCTGATTAGATCAATTGTTTGGGGCGGTGGTAATTTACTGATCGTTCATGGATCTTCTTGGTCAGAACTGCTTATTTGCTACAAGCAGTCCTGACTATCTTAAAACTCTTTTGACACTGACTATTTGATATTGAGAATCAAAAACCGTCATGCAGTGAAAGCTGACATTAAATTTCTTCCCAAATTTGAAGTCTTTGCCTCCCAGGTCACATGAGTTTAACTGACCAGGATACTCAAAAATTAAAGTAACTATATGCGCAAAGGCTGAAAAACTTTATGTGAAGTATAAAATGTGGTAAAGCCAATTTTTTTCAACCTAGTCAGTTTAGGTTCTTGTGCAGTTGCTTGTGTTTACACGTCATTTAACATCTGAAAGGTTTGAAATCAGAAGTTTTGGAACCTTCAGGAAATTTTATCCAAGGATGAACCAGACATGTGGAAGTCCAAAGTTCTCTTCCTGATATCTTGGCTGATTTCTTTAGATTCTCCCTTGTTGTCACAAAAGGAAGCAGTGTGTTTGAAGTGTGCCTTAACCTTGTATGGGGCAAGTGACCGTATTTGGTAACTTCCTTAGACGTTCAGTATGTCCACCCTGTGCTTCTCCTTGAGGTTGAAGGACCATGTGCACTTTGATATAGTTTTTATACTAGTGCCAGGATCACTACCTTACAAATAAACGTCACTCAACAAATGTTCCAGGCACTTTGTAAACACTTTGTTACTGATTTGCATTGAACTCCACTTTGATTTATTTGTTGAGATTAGTGCCATTAATACCACTACCCCAAGAAAAATGTTACTAAATGAACCTGCCAAGAACTTTATAAATACTTTGTTACTGGTTGTGTAAGTATCATTGGCTCAAACTAAAATGTTTTTAAATATATATATATATATATATATTTTGCAGTTTGTTACTCCTTTTTTTAAACCGTAGACGGGCAAGTTACCATATATGGTGACTTCATTAATCTTGATTTACAACATTTTTCTTTTTAAAGTCACAAAAGTAAAAATATCTTGAAATATCCCTCAGTAACACCCTAGGGTTGAACTTTTCATTTTCCAAGTATTTCAAGGAGTGCCCTATAAAGGATTAAAATAAATCTACAAGTGTGCCTCCAATTAACTCAAATGTTGTCAATGAACCTATTAAAAGCTTCCAAAGCCATGACATCATCATCTGGGCTTTCCCAGATAGTTTGAAGACATAGTAATCCAAGTGTATGTAAACTTCTGACTTTGAAAAAGCAATAAAAATTGACCTTAAAAATCCTCTCTCTCATTATATTGACATTTAGCAAATAGAAGTAATTTTGGTAATCCTAACTGACCTAAAACAGGAAAAGTATAATCTGATTTAATGTCAGCTAGTGAGTGGAAAAAAATGTTTTCTGTCTTATTATATGGTGTATGTAAACTTCTGGATTCAACTTTGGAACATGAAACTTAACAGGCCTGCTGTTTAACTGGTGATGTGGAAATGATAAATGTGCCCTTCTGCATCCTCTTCAGATGCTTCCCCGTCTCTGTTGCTGGTGCATCTCGCAGGAGTGGAGCTGACACCAGAGGGACGAGTGTGGCTGCAGCAGAAACTGCCTCCTGCACAAACAGTGTGGCTGAAACTTCTCAGCCGAGAGGACGACGTACTGCACTGTCTGGTGTCTCAAAGCAGGGCGAGTATCAGTCAGTGTTTTTATCAAATCCCCTCCATTCTTATCAAGATAGGGCACTAAGTATTTGTTGTTTCAGCACACAGCATCTCTAAAACAGAATGAAACAGCTGAGTGTGCACTTTGTTGGAAAGGATAATTGGCAGATTTAGAGAGGAGTCATAGACCAGAAATCACAAGTCAGTGAAGAGCTGCGGTTCAGCGATGCACAGAGTTAATGAGGTTGTTGATTGTGGCTTATGGGATGTTAATAGAAGAAGTTAATAGACATTTTGTGGACCAGGATCACGTTGTCTAGAGAGATTTCTTGGGTTACAAATGATGAAATTAAAGACAGTGAAGTGCTTGGTGACACGCCACAACCAGCATCCAGCCGGCAGCCCCGTTCTCATCTTTTTCTTTTCATCAGTGGTATCATGTCATTTGAATAAAACAGGATTTTTAAAGTGGCCTCTCACAGTCATTGATTAAAGGATTGTCTGTATGCTGGTCACACTATCTCATCATTGTCCTCTGTGGCCACACCTGATTGGGGTGTGGTTCAACTCAGTGCTTAAACATTTGTCACCAGTTAAACAGCTCAGTAATGTTTTGTGCGAAACGGGCTGAACTTAATCCTTTTCTAACCACAACAATAGAAGTGAGATTTTTAAGCTTTTCTTTAGGTACAAAAGAACGTCATTTGCATTAAACATTTTGTTCAACACACTATATATTATTGCATACATTATTTGTCAAAATTGAATACGTATTGCATCATTGATAACAGTTTGAGTCCAAAGACAGACGTGGTAATTTATTTGGTGATTCTACATTGGCGTGTGAGTGTAAGCATTGCTTGTCTGTCTCTCTGTGTTGGATGAACTGGCAACATGGCCGCGGTGTCTTCTGCCTCTCGCCCAAGGTCAGCTGGGATGGGCTCCCCGTGACTTAGCAAAGGACAAATATAACATAGCCTGTATTATGTGTTTGGAGGAGGCTGAAGTTTCTGGTCTGTAGTTGTAGGATTGCACTTCTAGGACCTTTGTTTGTCGCACCAAATTGGATGATTCAGTTTTAAAGGTTTGTTCCACCCAAAATAATAGTCTCTGTCCAAATTTTTATTTTTTTTAATTTTGAAGGTGTATTCTACCTAAATAATGCTCTCTAACTAATAAAATATGTATTCCAAGGTTTATTCCATCCAAAATTCAGTTTTCTTTCCAAGTACCTATAGCTTTAAAGGTTTATTCTTCCTTAATAGGACTCTCTAAACAACAAAATATACAAAATATGTGTTTAAATGTTTATTCCACCCAAAACTGAATATAGTTATAGAATAGAATAGAATAGAATAGAATATAGATAGATAGATAGATAGATAGATAGATAGATAGATAGATAGATGCTTTATTCACCCCCTTGGGGAAGCAATAAGGTGCCTAAAAATGCTGGTATTTACATAGGATGTACAAAAATCATTAATATTTACAATAAGCAAAGCAAATTGGCAGTATTTACAATAAGATACAATGTCATTACAGAATACAAAAAATAGAATATGACAATGTAGAAAGATGCAATATGAAAGAATACAACGAAAAAGTAAACGAAAATCCTAGAAATTTCCTAGAAATGCCGCCTCCTCTCCTGCAGACACATCTTACTTGTTAGACCAAATTGATGGATAAAAGCAGTTTGTTCTCTATAAATTTTTTATTTTTTCTCTGTCTCCTCACATGTCTCCAGCAGGGGTCCTTATGGAGCTACTGTTTGAACGACGAGGTCCTCAGACTCGGCCTGGCTCGCACCGCACCCGTCACTGGAGTCCTGCCCGGCTCTCGCCTCTACTGGCGTCTCCACAAACGGCTGCACAAGGCAGAGGTGAAAGCCGAGAGGAAGGGCCGGGGTCTGTGGAAGGAGGACAGCCTGTGGGAGAGGACTTCCAAGGCCATTAGGGACAGTGCTCTATTCAGATTGATGAGGGGGATCTTTAAAAGGACTCGAAGTGACTGACGACCAAATCCCCCCCCACCAAAAAAGTTCTTTCAGTTGCAAAACCTGAAATAATCAAAAAGTGGCACTATTCTTTGTCATTTAAAGACGCACATCTCTACTGTTAATGAACTCTTGGGACAACAGGATGACAAAGGAGTTTAGAAATCTTGCAAAAGCCTGAAAAATAATCCAGTGTGTCAGATTTTCTTCTTAGGGTATGAAAACGCTTTAATTTTCACAGAGCAAGAAGTCATTTTTCACACTAAATCCCTGTTACACCTGTTGCGAAGGCTGACTCTTACTGTGCTGCCCAGAAGTTAGAAATCATTTTACAAAAAAGGTGGTTTAAAGCTTTGTCTCAAATCCTGATACTAATCCCTGAGCTTTCATTACCCATTAAACCACAGCTGAACACAGCTTCCACTGTTGTGTGTCTGTTGTGTGTGTGTGTGTGTGGGACACCCCACTGAACACAAGACAGGGGCGGGGTATGTTAATGGTCTTCCAAATGGAGAGGGGGGTCCACTTGTCCACAGTTGCTATAGAAACACCAAATGTGAAACACAAAGCGAACCAAAGGCTAAACCCTATATTGGTGGCCCTCAAACCCCATGGGAGCCTTATATGTAGTGAGTGAGGGGGCTTTAAGTACCAATAAAGAGGGCCCTTTTAGCTGTAATGTGACCGAGACATCAGAGTATTTAAGCACAGAAATAGACGGGAAAAGGAGGCCGAGGATGGGATTCAACTCCAGGATGCTGAACGCTGGTTTTGTTATGAAATAACACAACAGAAATCATCTAGCAGCTCATTTTATTCCACCTGCTCCATTATTTTGCACTTGCTCCTGTTATAAAAATGACACCATGTGCCTCTGGGTGCCATATAGTTGTTACCCGGCTTCATCCATGCGAGGCAGAGGTGGAGCAGGTCCTCCAATTGAGGCCAAACTGCGATGGGGGTGCAGGGCGAGGAAGGCTAAGGAGGAGAGGGGGGGATCTCAGTGTAGTGAGAGGTTGTACCGAAGCGGTCAATCCAATGGGCACAAGCAGATTAGTGCAGAGGGGAGGAGGGTCGCAGGGGTAGAAGGGGATTTTGGGCCCGAGCACAAAGGCAGGAGAGGAGGAGTCAGAGTGGAAGGGAAAGGGAGTGAAGGACAGGGGGTGAGGAGGAGGGGTTGATGAATCAGCTAAGTCTCCCTTTTGTTGTGCAAATGTTACTAGCGACTGTTACTGCCAGAGAGGCCTGTGATTGGTGGGCCGGTTTAAATTGTAAGGTGCATTTCGGGCCTGATGGCTGTTGCTGCCAGACTTTGAACTGTCACCGAGGGAGGAGTGGGAGGGAAACCACGGCTAAGAGAGGCAACGAGGGGGAAGGCAGAGATCACACAAGTTTGTGCTGTTCAGTCACAAGACTTAAATGCGTTAGTGTGTGGCTGCCTCTTTTATCCCTGCTCATTGCTGATAATTTGGTATTTGTGCCATCAGAGATCATTTAGCTGGAGTCATTCATGTAGTGCAGGGTCACTTCATGTATTGTGGTCCAAAAATAACACTGATGTAGCTGTTTGTTGATGCAAAGTAAAGAAAAGCCTTTTGAAAATCTGTTGGAACCTCAGGTATGGATTTTAGGGCTTTGTCATGTTTTAAATGCTACTGATCACAGCAGTGTCTAAAATTTCACGGGGGATATATTTGTTGGTTTTGTGCACACAGAGACCAAATTCTGAGCAACAGAAAACCAAGAATTTGCAACTTTCCAAATATTATTTCTACCTGCATTGGTGGAAGTTTATTGTACAAGAAATTGTGTTTATTGATGGTGTCCTGATGTTGGTTTAAATGTGTACAAATGAATCAAGCAATGTGTTCTGGCTCTTTTTGGAACATAATTTATTTAAGCAGTTTTTTTTTTAAATAGAAAGACTGACTGAAAGCCATTTCTCTGGTCTCTCCTATTCAAAGCAGTCCACTCCGAAATCCACGCCAGGCTTTCCCAGACCCGCCAGTCCCAGCAGCAGTAGTAGCCCTTTGAAAAGGCACCACGCTTGATGTAGTGGTGGGTACTTACCCACACAGTGAAGTTGCTGGGACCCTCTCTGCCTGAAACCAAACCACTAGGACTATTACTGATTTACATGAGTGCCATGGGTGTCCGGTGCCTGAAGGACTGCAGTGCTACCGCTGGTACAAGTCACTAGATTTTGTGAGGAAGCTGACAACAAAGTTTCCAGATCTGAAGTGAAAGACGTAAGTAAGCTGATGCATGATGTGTTATTTGACTTCTTTCTTTTTAAAGAAAAAACAAACAAACACCAGGACATGTCATCATACGGTGCATTTGACTAACTTTAAAGGCCTGATTCTTAACTTCACTCTGCACTTTTCTGACGTTGGTAATCTGCGTAGGGTTTGCTGTCACTTTAAATTTACTGTTGTGTACAGTATCCAGGCAGCTGTGCACCTGTTAAACCTGTGCGCCTGGACACAAGCTCTGTTAAACAGAAACTCAAGACATGTCAGTCCTTATCTTTATTGTCCCCCTCCAGGTCACACACAGGCAGTCAGGCTTTAAACGTTTTCACTCGGATCATTTTGACCTCCACAGATCAGCCTGAGCTGATGTGATCACTTGCATATATTTCTTTTTGTCCAGCACTTTGGCTTTTTTTTTGTTGTCGTTGCAATCAATAATTAATCATTGTGATTGATGAAACATTTTCTGCTGTATCCAAAGTCAGCCACTTTTGGTGCTTTTTGCCAATGTGCCTCAACAACAGAGATTTGCAAGCAGGGCAGCAGCATAACAAAGGCCTTTATTGCACTCAGCCGGTAGCCATCCCAGAGAGCAGGAGAAGGGGGCACTCCCCCATCTCAGAGCACAGTCCTTGGGGATTTTTTGATTTGATTTGAGTGGCCTGTGTGTGTGTGTGTGTGGCTGGCCGGGTGTGAAAGACAAAGAGATTTAAAGAGACAGAGAGGTGGTGTCACTGAAATGCACCCTAAAACACAAAGGTAGTCTCTGGTTCTCCTGCCAAACCTCTCAGAGCTTTATCTACATCTAACACAAGGACTGTCTTTGTGTCGGGAAGCTTTTATATATATGTAAACTGACATTGGTCTATTAACCAGGAGTCCACATGCAGACACTAATTGATTTTTTTCTTCATGTGAGGCAGGTGTTTGCGTCGCCGGCTGTAAACACACAGCGGTAAGCAACTATAGCTCTGGGTCGCTGCTCCATCACACACCCACATGCACTGTGAAGGCTGAGTGTGTGTGTGTGTGTGTGTGAAGGAATGCATCAGCCGTAAAGTGACTCCCTTGTTATTATGTGACTCGAAGTATTGTGAACAGTGTATCAGCTTGCTGGTGTTGGGTTGTAGGAGTGGAAACACGACTCTTTGTGGGTGCCGTGATCCCTCATGAATAATTCTTGGTGGAAAAGAAGGGAGGGAGGCGAGAGAGTGAACGTTTTGGGATTTGAATTAGCCGCACCGTCAATGTATGTACAGTATGCACGCGAGAGATAAATGAGTATCTAAAAGACAGTTTCGGTATTGCAAAATGAACAAGCTGTCACTGTGTACTGCCGCACGTCAGAGGCCGCTCTCGCTTTCTCGTATCCATTTACAAACACTGAAATAGGAAGCTGTCTATGTGCTGGACTCTTTCGCAAGCTCAATACAGCTTCTCAGACAATTCTCTCTTGGCGACGAGGACACAAAGCAGACAGTCTGAGAGTAAAAGTAAAGGATGGGAACAGGAGGGAGAGTTGAGGGGTGTCTCTGCTTGAAATAGATCTCAGGATCTGACTTCTGACCTTAACAACACTCAATTCCTCGCTAAAGCAAGACGACTCCGCCACACACACACACGTGCACACATGGAGGTTAAAATAAGATGGCGCGTTTGAAATTTTCAAACTTACCTCCCTATTTAATATTCTTCAATGTGGAATTTTATCAACACTGGATAAAGGACATTTTTAAAATTAATGTAACTGTGATTAAATCTGCAGAATCTCTTTAGTTTGTACTCACAAACCCCTCAGTTCCCTCAATCTTATCTGTTATTTCATTTTCAACTCTCACGATATCGATTTCAGGCCCGAACCTTAACAGGACACACAGCAGTTCCTCTGTTTACACTCCTTTTGTTTTTACAGCCCCAATAATGTTACTACTGTGTCTGTTAACAAGCTCAGATAGCTGCCTTGATCATCCTGCCCCTCTGTAACACAACGCCGGCCCCACAGTAACCTCGAGGTTCCTCCCGTCTCCTTATCAGGTCAAAAGGTCACTGGAACAGGCCTGACTGAGACAGGACAACTTCCTCTTGTTAAAATATCATAAAGAGGTTTGTAGAGACGAAAGAGTGAGTTGATTGATCAGTCAGTTATCAGAAAATGAATCGACAACAACTCTGATTGCAGATTAGCAGCTGTTCTGAGTTTAATGTAATTATTAGCTGCAAGTTTTGGGGTTTTGAGCTGTTGGTTAGACAAAAAAAATCCAATGTGAACATCAGGTTGGGCTAGAAACTGCATTTTATTTTTTTGGCCATTTCAGACAAGGATCAATTATTTTAAAAAAATAGGATCCAAGCTGAAATTGTGCACTGAACACTGCAAAAGTTGTGAATTTCTAGTGAGTAGAGCTAAATAATATAGGGAAAATTACATTACAGTTATTTTAGTTTAAATATTTTCACGAGTCATGATTTAAGTGGAAATATATATATTTTTTTGCATTTCTTTTTTGAAATCATATATAAAATTGTGATGTTATTGTTGCTGCCGACAGCGATTTATAATCCGGTTCATCACTGTTACATGACGTTTCATTTGTGATGGTGTGTCATGATGATTTTACCTTTATCGGAAAGAAAAAAATGTAGCTCCGGTGATTTGGATGTTGCACTTGTCCATATTGCAATTTTTATACATGCTTTAACTAATACCGTAAACTTGTCTGTACAAACACCCAAATTACAAACATAAAAGTGAAAAATGTATGTATTTCCATCAAATTAAAAGGCCAGTTGTGTCTCTGTTTCCCAAGCTGCCAATACAGCCTTGAATACCGGTTAGTTAGTGAGTCACTCCATCTGCACTGTGAAAGCATCTGTCTAGCCATCAGCATGCCAAGACTGTTTACTCTGGTCTGATAACCGCTTAACAAGCAATTACAAGCTACTCATTGACTCTACATGTAGGTGGTTTGCAAGCTGTCTTCCATTTGGTTCCTTATCATCCCCAAGTTATAGTTAAGGGAGATGTTTAGAGAGCAAAATACTAACTGTGTTGGATATAAGCCCGAGCCTCTGCTGCTGTTTAGATAGTTTTATCTATGTGTATTTACAAGTTTATAGAAGGTCTGAGGAGAGGTTACGCAGGCTGATTAAAGTAAAACCCAC